GATTAATAAGTAATTATTAATTTAACTAATTCTGCATCCACTTGACAAACCACTAGAGAAAAGTGCTTATTGTGTATGTGAATATGTAATAGAAAAGGGAATTCAAAATACCATAAAACACTTACATATAGTTTTGTTAATATCCAATATTGCTGAAAGTTACAGAGTTGCAATAAACAAGATGTTCCCATATTACTTACTGCAGACAAAAAGACTGCAAGATGTTTGCTTAATAAAATGGCACTAATTTTATTATCTTTGTTATTAGGAAAAGCACCTTTATATGAAGAAATCAGCATCTTTCATGAAAGAGTTTTAACACTGCACAAAAAGAACAAAAAGGAGCCATTATCAAACATATGGAAAATTGCTACTTTCTTTGAAAAGAAATTAAATTGCCTAAATAAAAGAGTATAAAGCTGTGAATAGATGTTCATCAATCTGTGTAATTCTACCTAAGCCTAACACATATAAAAAGGAAGCAAACAGAACTAAAATACCTGCATGGAATGCCACCTTTAGCATACGTAGCAGCAAACGCAGAAGGTGTTCTAGAAGGAGCAGCAAACTGCAAGGACACAAAAAAAGAAGAGAAAAAAGTGTTATTTGTTTATAAGTTTGAATATGTTAAAACTGCAAATTATTGAGAAGGGAGCTTTGTTGTATGATTGTAAAAATAAATTGAAAAAAATCTGCAGATACAGGATGGAAAACACACATTTGGTACATTTATCAAAAAAAAGGGCTTTACAGAATTGTCTTCAGAGAAAGTTGTAAAAATGAACTAATAATGTAGAATTTATGCTTTCCTGATGCAGTGCTCCCATTTTCCTATTTTGTCGTGAAAATCTTAAGACTGAAATCTTATGAGTTCTCTCTTAACAGATTAAGGACATCTCACTTTCCCAATGGTCACTATATGCAGGTATCATGGCTAGGATAATTTTCTCTGTAGAGGGTGGTATGACTAAGTGCTTTGGATTTTTGATGAAAATATACTGATGATAGCACACTGATGCTTTACTTGTTGCATGGCAGTGTTTACAAAGAGCCATAGACTTCAGCCTCTTACCCTGCCCTGCTAAGCAAGTTGCTGGGGGTGCACAAGAAAGGGACTTGGCCACAATAGTTGACTTCAAACTGCTCAAAAGAACATCCTGTACCATATGGTGTCATGCTGGGGTAAAAAAGCTGGGGTAAAGAAAGAGGGGACTTTGGAATGCTGGTGTTTGTCTTCTCAAGAAATCATTATGCGTAATGAGCTCTGCATCCCTGGAAGTGGCTGAGGATCTGCCTGCTGTTGCTTTGGGAAACAGCAAATGAATTCCTTGTTTTTCTTTGATTGCACACACAGCTTTTGTTTTACCTAATAAACAGTCTTTACAAGTTTACAAGAACTCACAAGTTCTTGCACTTTTACCCTCTACAATTCCTTCACCCACCCCACTTGGGAAGAGTGAGCAGCTGTGTGCTTTTGAGCTGACACACAGCTGTGGGGTTACTCAACAACAGCAGCTAACTTGCAGGAGGTTGTTTTGCTCCAACTCCAGCCTGATCTGAGTATACATGAAATTTACAAGTTGGCAAGATGTAGAAAAACATCAAACATTGAGCCAGATGGCATATGGGCATTGAAAATCAGTGGGAGCTTAGTGTGAGGAAAGCCTACACAAAGTTTTTGTGTTTTTTTTTTTTTAAATCATGGTTCTTATCAGGTTGAAATATGACACAATTTATTAGCTCAATGCTACATTCAAGATTAAACAACTTGTCACAAACTATATAGCATGAAATACCAGGAAATCTTAATTTCTGTCTTTCTAGTATTTGAAGCTACACCAACACTAATAAAATTCTGCACACAATTTGACTTTTCACTAACAATTAATTTGTTAAGAGTTCACGAGATCTAGATGATCTTCAAGATACTACCAGAGTCTTTGTTTCATTGCAAAACATGGCATGGGTTATCAAAGCCATAACTCTAATCTGTTCCCCTAATGGACCAGGTGCCAAAATTTACAACTATATATAAAAAAAAAAAAAAAACAAAAAAAAAAAAAACAATAGAAAACCTCATTAACTCTTGGTCCTAAACTCATGTTTAGGTACATAGAAAGAAAAAAAAAGTTGCCACTAAAGCCATAGTTGTATCAAAACTTCTTTTTAAAATGAAGTAATAAACATGTTATTACTCAAACATTTCAGCATGTGATTTAGGTTGTAATTTAAGCAATGTATGATTAATAACAAAAGTTTAGTTTAAATTATCAATATTGAACCAGAAGAATTATCTGCATGCATATCTTCAAGTATGGAAATTTTTTTCCAACAAAATAATGATTTTAAATAAAACAAAAGACCCACCACCCATACATACTGGATCAATAGTTTTGGGATTCAGCTTGTCACTGGGCTTTGGCTGTGGCTTAACCGCAGATTCTGGAGAAGATGGCAAAGGAGAGGAGGTCTTGCTTTTCTGTGCTGCAGCCTTTGCTTTTATCTGGGTGCCTGATGACATGTTTAGAACATTGCTACCTAGACTACAAAAAGATTAAAAACATAGAATTGCATTCCTACATGACAGGATATCAAGGGTTACAATCTCCAGGTCAAAAGACTGACATCAACAATGAAGAAAATCTGAATAAAGGAATCCTTATTCTTCTTTATCTCCTAATCCTGTGCTTCTCTCCTTCACTTTGCTAACATTTTCAGAATATGGCCTGCCTTTGGCAACAGATCTTTTAAAAAGGCCACAATTAGGCAATGAAGTCTCTTTAGAACACACAAGAAACATACATGGGATCTTTAAAGGTCAGGTAGTCCAATACCCCTACAGTGAAAGACAATCTACAGCTAGATTAGATGCTCAGAACCTGGTCCAGCCTTATCTTGAATGTCTCCAGGGAAAGGGCATCCACCACATCGCTGGGCAGCCTGTTCCAGTGCCTATCACGCTTACTGTAAAAAAAATTCTTCCTTATATTCAATCTAAATCTACCCTCTTCTAGCTGGTAACCATTTCGACAGGCTAGAGCCACTAGCTGAGCCTGGGTGAACCTGATGAGGTTCAACACAGCAAAGTGCAGAGTTTTGCACTGGGGCCAGAGGAATCCCAGGCATCCATACAGACTGGAAGGAGTGGTCCTTGAGAGCAGCCCAGCAGAGAAGGACCTGGGGGTCTTGATAGATGAAAAACTTTACATGAGCCAGCAGTGTGCCCTTGCGGCTCGGAAGGCAAATGGTATCCTGGGCTCCATCAAAAGAAGGGTGGCCAGCAGGGACAGGGAGGTGATTGTCCCCCTTTATTCTGCTCTTGTGAGGCCCCATCTGGAGTACTGTGTCCAGGTCTGGAGCCCCCAGCACAAAAAAGACAGAGAGCTGTTGGAGAGGGTCCAGAAGAGGGCCACAAAGATGATCAGGGGACTGGAGCACCTCCCCTATGAAGACAGGCTGAGAGAGCTGGGCTTGTTCAGCCTGGAGAAAAGAAGGCTGCGGGGTGACCTCATTGCAGCCTTTCAATATCTAAAGGGAGCCTACAAAAAGGAGAGGAATCAACTCTTTGAAAGGGTTGATAACTGCAGGACAAGGGGAAATGGTTATAAGCTGAGGGAGGAGAGATTTAGGTTGGATGTCAGGGGGAAATTTTTTACAGAGAGAGTGGTGAGGTGCTGAAATAGGCTGCCTAGAGAGGTTGTGGATGCCCCATCCCTGGAGGTGTTCAAGGGCAGGTTGGATGGGGCCCTGAGCGGCCTGAGCAGTATTAAATGGGGAGGTTCATGGCCCTGCATGTGGCAGGGGGGTTACAGATTCATAATCCTTGAGGTCCCTTCCAACCCTGGCCATTCTGTGTGCAATTCTGTGTGATTTCCTGTATCATATCACAACAGATCCTGCTCAAGAGTCCATCCCCTTCTTTATTACAGCTCCTCTGTAGATACAGAAAGGCTATTGTCAGGTCACCAAGGAACCTTCTCTTCTCCAGACTGAACAGCCCCCAGTCTCTCAGCCAGTCGTCATAGGAGAGGTGTTCCATCCCTTGGAGCATTTTTATTACCCTCCTCTGGACGTGCTTGAACAGTTCCACATCTCTCCTGTACTGAGGGACTCCACATTTGGACACAATACTGCAGGTGAGTCCTCACCAGCACAGAGCAGATGGGCAGGATCACCCACGCTGCTTTTGATGCAGCTCAGGATATGGTTGGCTTTCTAGACAGCACATTGCTGGCTCGTGTCCAGCTTCACATCCACCAGTACCTCCAAGTTCCTTTTAGCAGAACTGCGCTCAATCCTTGTATTAGCAGTAGGGGTTGCCACAACCCAGGTGCAAAGCCTCGCACTCAGATTTGTTGAACCACATGTTCAGAAGCATCCAGACTCTCTCCACTTCCAAGAAGCAATTAAGATATGTGCAGAGCAATTATAATACTGTTTTAAGTAACAACAATTCTAGATGCATTTCAAGTCACTGCTCACACCATCACAGAAATGCAATTAAAAAAATAAGCGACAACCGGCAGATATTTTGGGACAAAAGTAAAGATGGGAGTTAGGAAAGTGATGAAGGATATGTACAAACCAAGTGCACAGCTCTTGCCAAAGGTGTGATACCGAGGTTAATAGTCCTGCTGGCAGAGGACTAGGCTCCCCAGTACAAAAAAGACAGGGACCTCTTGGAAAGAATCCAGCGGAGGGCCACAAAAATGGTGAAGGGCCTGGAGCATCTCCCCTACGAAGAAAGGCTGAGTGAACTGGGTCTATTTAGCCTAGAGAAAAGAAGACTGAGAGGGGATCTAATCCAGATTTATAAATATCTGAGGTGTGGGAGCCATAGTGGTGAGGCCAGTCTCTTTTCAGCAGTACGTGGAGACAGGACAAGGGGAAACGGACATAAACTGCAGAAGTATAAGAAGTTCCACACAAATGTGCGCAAGAACTTCTTTATGGTGAGGGTGATGGAGCACTGGAACAGGCTGCCCAGGGAGGTGGTGGAGTCTCCTTCTCTGGAGATATTCAAGACTCATGTGGACGCCTACCTGTGCGACCTGGTGTAGGGAACCTGCTTTGGCAGGAGGGGTTGGTCTCAATGATCTCTAGAGGTCCCTTTCAACCCCTACAATTCTGTGATTCTGTGACAGACTTCACACAAATGGCAGGAATCCATAAATAGAAACGAGGCAAAAGCACATTTGAAAGACCGTCTTTCAAAAGAGAAAAAAAGGCCTGGGTTTGGTTTCTGGAAGCCACGTACAAAAGACAGACTGGCAATAAGCAGTGTGTAAAGGCGAAGCTGCTCACTTACCCCGCTGTGTGAGACCTCTCCGGAGCGCAGCTGAGGCAGAGAAAGGGAGCAGCAGCAATTCCTCGTTTTCCGCGATCCCCCCGTCGCCCGGCCCGGCCCACCCGTGACCCGGCGGCGGGCAGCCCCACGCGCGGCCACGCTTCCTGCCAGTTGCCGGGGAAACTACGGGGTGCCGGTAGCCCAACATTCCTCGGCAGGCCGAGCCCGGGGCGGGCGGAGCATGCGCAGTGGAAGGGCGTGCGCCGGGTCCTCCTCCGGCTGGAGCGGAGGGCGGGGTGTGCGGCTGAGGCATGAGGGTGCTGCAGGAGAGGTGATGGTCATCTGGTTGTCTTCCGTCACTTCACTGTTAATATCTGCCACCAGCCTGCCTTACCCCCGTTACAGCCCAGCTGTGTCCAGCCCAAGCCTTCCCTTTGGCTTCCGTCAGTAGTCTCACTGAATCAAGTGGACTGTGAAGATATAAATAAAAACATGTTGATGTTACTTGCCATGTTCTCTTTGCAGTCATTTCTGTTTCAGTTATAAGTACAGAAAATACTTTTCTTTTCTTTTCTTTTTTTTTTTTTTTAATTAGCCCACTCTAACTATGCTGAATTTGTGTCATAAGTGCAGTATTTATTCATATAAAAACACATCTGCATGTAGCAAATGACCTTTTGAGTAACAGGATACATTTTTGTCTTCTGCGAACCCAGTAAATCATCAGAATGCGTTTTTGCCTTCCTTGAGAAAAGTGTTTATTCTTTCATGCACTCAGCAGTAAATCTCCAAGCAAGACGTTTTTCTGGTTTGCTTAAATTGTGTGGGATACAATCTTTCCAGAATCACATATTCTTTTTCACTTTGTAGCAAGGAACTGAATGACTTCACTAATGGATAAGATAGGCTGTTCTCTTGATTTTCCACAAAAACAGGAAAATGCACTGACGGAGTTGAAAACAGTTGTCAGCTGCTTTTTTTGAAAACTACCATCAGCCTTAGATTTTAGCCAATGTTGGCATTTCATACTTGTTTTTATCCGGCATAGATAGTTTGTATCTGCCAGTAATTGGAAGTTGTGAGGACATTTGCGGAGTTCAGATAGGGCTACCTAATTTAATGCCTTTTTATCAGTGTAAAGTGGAAATGCAAAAGAAAAAATGTTAAAATTAATGCTAGAGAAACTGAGAAGGGAAGAGATTTCTGCTTTATGTATAAATCAGTTAACTAGCAGAAATTACAGTACTTTTGCAGAAGTTTTTGTTGTTCCACAGTACTAAAGGCAATAGAAGAATTGGTGTCCTTCTATTAATAAATGTTATAAGCTGGCAAGGACCTCTGAACAATACAGTATTTTTAAAGCATTATGGTATAGTTCTTTGAAAATGACCTCAAAAACACAGATCAGTGTGCTCGTCTCCATAATGATGAAAAAGAACTGATTTTCTGCATGATGTTTATTTTTGGCTCAGTTATTATAGTATCATTTCCGTCATGTATCTGATGTAGTAGCTTTTGTGAGTACAGAATAAACTACAGCTACGCTAAGTGATGGAAAAAAAGTAGTACTATAATTCCTAAGTCAGTAGGAGGTATGAACTGCTGTGTTGTCTGAAGCAAAATATCACTGATCAGCTCTGTGGAGTCAGCAACTCCCACTGAGTTCCTGGAGGCATAGAAACTACTGGGTTATAGAAGAACAAGTAAGACTCAGTTTCTGTTCAAGAGCAGAGATTTACTTAGTGTTCAGTCAGTTTCCTGGAAAATGAAAAATAGGGGAGCGTTACAGTACATCAGTATTTACAGTATAACAGGGATTGCTGCCATACTTTAGACATAGAATATACAGTCTTCATTCCTCTTTGGGGAAATGATGCATCAAATCAAGGACTGAGAGACACCAGTCTGGATGCCTGATAGAGGTGTCCCTCAGGGGAGTCACAGTTCATCTGTGAGCTGGGGAAAATCCTCACATCATCTTAGCTGGCTCTAAAGAAGTTGCCTTCATGCAAATCTTCTGGCATAAGGTCACCAAATATGGGTCAAAACGTCTTTGTTTATGAAAAAATACTTCTCATACTGTGTCTCATTTTTATTAGTTGTTATAGAAACCAGGCTGTAAACTTTTAAACATATTTGGGGAATGGACAATTTAGAAGGAAAAAAATATACTTTAACAGCAAAACATTAAGATATCATAATAAAAAATATAGGAAATTATTTTAGTATTTTTCTCCATCACAATGGAGAACACAACACTTTGTAGTGTTAAATATGGTGTAATAATCTGCTTTTACTGTTGTGTACATACATAATGTTAGCTCCAATTGCTATTATTTTCTCCATTATGTATTTTTTATTTTGTTTGATTTAACTGTCATAAACCTTCCATTCTGATCAAAATAAGCAAAAGAAAAAAAAAAACACAAATAATGATTTTTTAGTCACTAAAGGAAATGCAGTCACTTACATGCATGTAGTATTCAGGAAAGCATATAAAAATCTGTGGTTTTTTTTTTTTTTATAATGATTTGTTTGCTAAATTTTGCTAAATACAAGAAAGGGTTTACCTTAAAGCCTTCAAGATTGTTTCATCTTTCTATGTAAGTATTAATTTAGTAATATATGAATTTATATATTTTCATTTGAAAAATATTTTAGAAATTTCTAAGCCAAGTGCCATTTTAGCCTCAGTTGAGGACTAATAACTCTTACAACCTACTAAGAATGATGAAAGTAACAAAAACTTGTTTCCTTGACTCAGTATATTTGCTAATTCTTGTTAATTCTCCAATAATTCTTAAAAGTTAGAGATTCTCATTGACCCCTCAAAAAGTCCACAGTCTATGTTGTTGCATTCTCCAGAAATGTTTTCCTTAGATATTGTTCAAATACCTTCCCCAGAGTTTTTCTTCTTACTTCGCCACTCTATTTGCTTTATAAAGAGGAGTTATTATACAGCGTTTGGAAATAAATGTGAGCTACAGAGCAGACTGTAGACACCTTGTTGTAGATTTTGGGATTCTTTTACAAAGGTTTAGATGCTGGATTCCAAGCACTGGAACAGGCTCCCCGGGGAGGTGGTTGAGTCACCATCCCTGGATGTGTTTAAAATCCATTTGGATGTGGTGTTCAGGGACACGATTTAGCAGAGGGTTGTTCGTTAGGGCAGTACGGTTCGGTCATGTTGGACTCGATGATCTTTAAGGTCTTTTTCACTCTGAGTGATTCTATGATTCTATGATTCTTTGCTCAAGCCACTTTCCTAGACAAATATTAAGTATACTGTATCAGATGATTGGGTCAGTGCCTATCAAAAGTTGATGGACCTTATATCCTCAGTGAAAATTGGTGTGAAAGAGAGACATTTCAGTTGAAGAATTTCAGGTAACTATCCATAGATGCTTACATTCTGCTTTAATACATCAGAAATGACTAGATTGCCTATTATTAAGTGCTAAATTGCTGGGAGGATGCTGGATTAGGAGATGTAAAACTCAGAGGCAAACTCCCAAGAAGCAGATAGTCACACTGGAATATTTGCATTTCTTGATGTTGTAGAGTAATAAAAATACGTGTATAACAGACAAATTTAGGGACTGAATGAGACTCTTTATGGATATCATTAACACACAGGTCTGTACCACTAGCCTGCTGTTTTTCTTGAGCTAAGGTGCAAAGCTGTGTGAAGTTAAGAAGTTGTGTGGGTAATATTGCTTCACTTCATTATTTATTCAAATGCTTAAAGCACCTGCAAAATGGTTTGGTTATACAGCCTTTGCAATCACCCACACATGGCACCAGTGTTTTTTTTCTCCCATGGTAAGCTAGTACTATCAGGAGCCAAAGAAGGCCAGTTACACTGACCAATCAATAAATTACACGTCCTGAGAAATGAAATTAGGTTTAAAAAGAGACATATCAGGACGTATGGTTTGTTTTTTTTTGGTTTTTTTTTTTTTTGTTTTTTTTGTTTTTTTTTTTTTTTTTGCCGATTCTTTTAAATACTCCTATTGAGACCATTGATATTAAAGTTATATTTACAGGCAGTACAAATTGCTCCAGAAAGACAATACATTCCTTTGCCATCTTTCAGATCATTTCTATCTCTGTTTCTTGCAATCACAGCTACTTATGTAAGAGTACTTTGCTTAATTATGCATAGAGAATCATTCCCATTAGTTTAGTCCAAAGAGTTAGGAAGCTGTATTTCTTTGAGTAACTGTATGTAAGTCACAGTTTCATGATGCTTACTTTTCTGCCTCTGTGCTTTTCATCAGAATCTCCTTCCCTAAGTTAAGTTTCAGGAGTCCTTACCACAGAGTGTGAATGCTTAAACAGCTAAGAATGAGATTCACAGAAGGTACAAAAGTTGAGTAGGCAGTGGTCTGCACAAAGTCCTGGAAAATGTAAAGAAGAAAGCTGTGATTTTAGAGAAAGTTAGGGGCAGTTGGGAATGAATTTATATCTGTGTCTTCTTTCATGGAACTCAGTGCTCAGAGTGTCCAAAGCTAAAGAAAAAAATCAGAGGTAGTAGCAGCCAGGAATTAGAGGGCTCACTGTGTTATGGAAAAATCACTGTGTTATTATTATTCATGGGGCAGTGTTCTTTAAATCTTGCAGACAGACGTGTACAGGCTTTACCTGTGCTCACCGAATGTTGAACTATATTAACTATTTGAAAATCAAAACTACTAACTTTCTGAGGCAGGAGGATACATGCAGTTTAAAATATGCTTTGGAAATAGTCAAGCAAATGGTGAAAAGTTGCAGCTGATTCTTAGAGTGGTGCAGCGAGAGCTGTTTGGCATGTTTTCTCAGGGTTACGCAGGGAAAGAGAAGCGATACGCAGGCATACCGTGCAGTTTTGTATTTCTCCACTTGGTGGCAATGATTCCCTGTCTTTCCTTGCCGCTTCTGCCCTTTGAGAAAGCGGCTGCTCTGCATTGTTCTGTAGCCTCTTTCACTTTGGAGAGACAAACAAGGCCAAAGTCAAAATATCAAAGGTTGAAAAATAGAAGAGTTTGTTAAGTGGAAATGGAAGTTTTTCATAGTTCAGTTGTCAGAGAAATTGCGTTCTTTGTTAGGAAACGTTTTACCAGCTCTTTCCCTCTGTAGGTCAAGGATC